GGGCGCTCCCTGCTGGGAGCGCCGGCCTCCTTCTTTTTGTCGCTCGCAGGCCTCCCCTTTCGGGTGGCCCGCGAAGCGCCCTCGACGGCGAGGACGTGACCCTCGTCGTTGGAATGGGCCGACCTCTTTTTCCTCCTCCTGTCCCGCCGCCCTGACCGAGCGGCGGATCCGGGGGCGGCCGAAGCTGCCACACCGGAACCGGTGGAGTTCCAGGTCCAGGCCTCCTCCTTGCGAGCCACACGGTCCGCGAGCTGAAAAAGCTCTGCGGTGGTCTGGGGCTCCTTGGAGGCGATCTTTTCGAGCATGCGGTTGTGCCGCACGCCCCCCCTGAACGCGTAGATTACCGCGTGTGCGGGGATGCATGGTATGGTGTTGCGGACTTGACAGAACCGCTGAATGTACGAGCGAAGAGACTCATCGTCCCTTCGCTGTACCGCATGCAAGTCCGCTTCTTCACCTGGGCGCGGATATGTGCCTTGGAAGTTCATGGTGAACTGCTGGCACAAATCCTCCCACCGACGCGGGCGGCAAGTTCATTAGCCAACCCCGCGCCTGTCCCTTCAGGGCCATGGGGAAGAAATTCGCCATGACCCTGTCATCACCCCCGGCGGCCTCGATCCCGGTCGTGTAAACCTGGAGAAACTCGGCGGGATTGACGCTTCCGTCATATTTTTCGGTGATGGTGGGCCGGAACCTTGGGGGCCAACGGACGTTCCGAAGGCTCGCCACAAAGGCTCGACAGCCGACACCACCAAGCGGGGGCACGGGGGGCTGGCCCCCGCGCCCGAACCGAAGTGGCGCTCCGGACGAGGAAGCGCCTTCCGTTGCGTGGGCAGCACGACGACCATTGCGCCGGTGCTCGATACTGAGGCGGGCATCCGGCCCCCTACGCACATCTTCTTGGGTCGGAGGCGTTGACGAGGGAATGACAGACGAACGGCGGGTAACGGCCGCCGCTCGCCGCGCCCTCCGCCTCGACGACACGGAGCCGGCGGTAGCAGCGCCAGAGGCCTTGGCGGCGGAGGACCGCCCACCGGCGCCTAGGCGCTGCTGCGCCTTCATGACCAAGTCGGCCACGTCATCCAGCCAACGTCGGGCTGGAGTCTCTGGATCGGGGACGACGGGCGGGTGACGCAAGAGCGCGCCCGCAGCTTGGAGCGCGCCCTGGGGCGTGCTGCCATCGCCGTAGACGAGGAGGCGACGCTCCCCGTCTCGCCGTCCTTCTCCATCGCTCGTGGGCGGCGAAGTCGCGGATCTTTCGACCCCCTCGAGCGCCTCCTCCCGCCTAAGACTTCGGCGAGAGGGGGGCAGTGGAGTACGAGCTCGACGGCGCGGGTTCTGCTCCCCGTCGTCACCGCTAGCGCTCGGAGAGAGGTTGTGCGCCACTGCCCGTTCGGCCATTGGGCTGAGCGGGAGAAGCTTGGCACACACGAAAGAGGACGAGGGCTTAGAAAAACACACGCGCCCCCTACCTGGCGCGCCAGATGACGGAGCGTGGGGCTCCTCACCGGGAGACCGCGCGGGCCCCCCTTTGCCGGTTCGGCCGGGGGCGCTAGGTGAGGTTCTAAGCACTCGATCTGTGGAATGTTTCGCGAGAGAGCAAATGCGCAAGACACAGGCGATGTAGACAGGTTCGGGCCGCTGAGAAGCGTAATACCTTACTCCTGTGTTCTGGTGGATCTGTGTATGAAGGAGTTACAAAGAGCTGGAGAGCAAGAGAGTTCAAACTCTAGAAACCCTCTTCCTCTTTCTCTCCTCTACGAGCTCAGGTCTTCTCCCCCCTCTTTCCCCAGCTCCCCCCTCTTTTTCCAGCTCCCCCCTTCTTAAGTGGGCAAGGTCCTCCTTTTATATCTCAAGGGGATCCCACATGCACCACTTCTACCTACTCTTCTTTTGGGTGGGGACTCACCCTATCTTCCCAAAAAAGAAAAAACTGGCTTGCACCTTCGCCTGGAAGCTAAATCACAGCTTGTCTTTGAGTGAGGCCCAGCGTCATCACTCGCCTGACACCGGGGATCTCCCTGTTACTCCCTCATTAATGGGCGGAGATTTGCCATGGCTGTTGTCCGAATGACCCTCTGATGGGATGGGCCATACCTACCTCCACTCCGCCGGAAGCAGGCGCAACGTGGGAGCACGGTTGTCTGCCGATGACGTGACCGGCGTCAGACCAGTCACAAACCGGTCATTCTTGTCTACCACGCATCAGTTTAGCATGCCACACGTCAGCCCTTCTTCATAAAATGACTTCCTTGTAATGGTTGCGATGAAGCCTGGTATGAATCTAGCCGGGACTGACGTGCTAACTCTAGGAGTCAGCACGCCGGCTCCGGCTAGGGACGAGTGCCTAGAGGCTCTCATCATTCCGACGGGACGGGGCGAGGCGTGCGAAAGGCCGCCTGTTGCCACCTAACCCGCGATCTGACCGGTCTGTGACCGGTCACACACTGTGACCTGTCACGGACCGAACGAGTGTGCTGCGCTGCATTAAATGCGGCGTGGGGCGCTCGTCCAACCCGCAATAAACGCGGTTAGGTGAGCGCCGCTGTGCTCACCTAACCCACACACGTGGCGCCAAACCCACAGGGGGTCGGGGCGCCCCAGCCCTCGGGGCCGAAACGGGAGCGGCCCGACCCCTCGGGGAGACAGAGGGAGGGGCGGCCACATCACCCTCGGGCCCGACCCCCCCGAGGGGGTCAGGCCACGTGGGTGACTGCAGCTGCCCCAAACCTCTAGTCAAGATACCCCCGGTCCCATGTCACCGACAGAGCGGGTTTGAACCTGGCTGTTAGGACCTATATGACACACATGACAAGTTTATGGGATCTAAAAATATATTTCGGGAGTTCACGAAACTAGATGATATACCTGCACCAGTTTAGAAACTGTCCATATACTTCACTCTTAAATAATTCTTGATCAAATATGGCTATCGAACAAAATATAGCAAGTAACAAGAACTACAGATCGATTAGCATGCAGTACATTATTGGCGTAGTAGGCATGCAGTGCAGGTGAGCCGTGAGCGTGCTACAATTCGTTTATAAGTGCTAGGCCATGTTCACTTTGATGCCAAAAAAAACCTTACCAATTTTTGGTATATTTTGGCAGGATTTCTTATATAGTTACCAAAATTTAGCAACAAACTAAATGTAGCTACTTTTTAGCAACTTTACCAAAATTTGGTAAGGTTGAAAATGGCATCAAAGTGAATATGCCCCTAGTAGTACTCCATCCGTTCCATAATATAAGACACAACTACTTTTTCTTGGATGTTCCATAATATAAGTCATGCATACAATTAATTAGGACATCTTCTCCATAAATTATTATTTTTTTAAAATCCTCTACTCTAAAGATATCTAATTCTATTGGATGCATGCATTATATTTATTTGGGTGATTCAAACTAGGAGATAATAATAATTGTTTCTTGGTCTTTGGATTAAGAGTGATTGTGTCTTATATTTTAAAACGGAGAGAGTAATAAGCAGTTAACTAAGCAAGCCAACCCATCAATCTAGTCAAATAGTAGATGGCTCGGGCATTGCAAAACGGTGGCCCAATATGCGTACGGGCTGGTTAGGTGAGTCATGCCGTTGGTAGGGTTGGCCGGGCATGGTTGTTCGGTCATCTATAATCTACTTGTAGTGCTGAGTGTTGGTGAATTAATTTTGAAAAGAAATATATACTGTTTATTTATTTTGTTCTTAATTATAAATATTTGGGACGTAAATTTTTTAACAAATATACCGTTGTCACTGAGTGAAAATGCGAGAACGAAACGATATCGCTAAACAAATACGCGAAAGTGACACGCGAGAAACCGGTGGTCGTGCCATGGGTCTCGCAAGGCGGGCGGAACCGAGCACAGTTTGGCATGGCCAGGAAGCGAGACCGGTGAGATGGCCTGACATTGCCTATGTGTAGTGGTTGATTGACGATTAATTAATTACTAATGATACTGATTAAATAAATAATACTGTATTAATTAATTTATTGCTAATGACATTAGTTAATTCATTAATATCCACGAGCGAGACCGAGCGGTCTCGTGCACCCTCCACACGAAGTCATTGGTAACGTGCATTTCGCGCTTTCAATTTGAGACAACGGTATATTTCTGCAAATTCTTTCTAAACACATATATTTATGTAAAATCAATAAAAAAGATGTATATATATATTTTTTAAAAAGAGTGTTGGTACCTTTAGGCGAAATAAAAGGGATGCCACATGCTTAGTTTACTCTGTTTTAAATTAAATTTAAGTTGCTGCGGGTGTCTAAATTTATATCGAGGAGATATATATATATGGTGAAATAGATTAATTATAGCTAAAACATTTTCTCGACCTTGTTGCTGAGCTCCACCCGTAGATGCCGCAAGTTTATGGTGATATGTCTATCTTATATTAACTTATTAGTGATTCATTTGAGAGAGAGAGTCAGAGCAGCAAATGCTTCACAATCCTGAATGGATAATTTGTTTGTATGTGTGTAGCTATACTAATTAGACCCTTTGAGAGAGTTATATAACTACGCTGCATAATTCCTTGAGAGAGTATTTTTCGATTTTTTTTGTCTCATACTTTTTAGCTGGATTATAGCGATGGGGCTTCTTGTCAACTGACGGAATACCTTGTACCAAGAGAATAGATTGACCAAATTGTAAGCGAAGTTAGCGTAGCTCAACTGTTTAAGTTTCTTATGGTGGAGGCAGCCCACCTAATTTTATATTTGACACGGGTGCTTATTTATGACTAATAATTCTTTCAGTGCTAGGTAACGTACCATTGACAACAAGACACTCGTGGTGACTTGTTTGTATGTGTATTTGTATTTTTATAGAGGTGAGTACCGCATAGGATAGAAAACAACCGTTTAGGTTGTTCCACGGAAGGTGATAAAATAATCTGTGAATTTCCGGGGGGGGGGGGGGGGGGGTGTCCGTCTCCCTCGCTGTATTTTTCCTCCTCCCTTCATCGGTCTTCATATTACTGAGTGTAGTGTAACACAGAAAGAGAAAGTGGTGAAAAACACACAAGAGAGAAAAGAGGAAAATAAGCAGAAAGAGATGCCCCGGCGGAGGGCCCTGCCTCCTCACCGTCGCGCCACCGCCACCGCCACCGCCATGCCTCCCGCCAACCTCTCCATCTCCGCCCCCTCCGCCGCCGCCGCACCACCGCCCCCGCTTTACCTCCGCCGCCTCCCGCTCATCGCCGCTGCCGCGCTCCTCTTCCTCCTTGTCATCGTCGTCCTCGCTGCTGCCCATCCCTACGGCTACGCTCCATGGCTAGCCAACGCCGCACCAGCAGCCCTCCTCCGCCGCCCGGTATCCACAACCTTCTACTCTTTTGACCTGCTCCGAGAATATCCCCACGATCCATACGCCTTTACCCAGGTCTTGCTCTTCTTCTTCTTCTTCTTCTTCTTCTTGATCTGATTCAACGACCCACCCCCTAATAGCTCTTCATTCCTGATGAATCTCTATTGTATTTCCTATTTATGCAGGGTCTCTTGTATGGAGGAAATGACACTTTTTTCGAGTCAACTGGCCTTTATCACAGGGTATTCCAATGGACTCCTCTGCCTTCCCTTTTGTTTACTCCAATGCAATGCAATGCTGCCTCTTTAATATTCAGCCTATATCCTCTAACAAAACCACCTGTCCGACTTTATGATTATTCCCCCAATTACACAAGACTGACCGCCACTAATTCGGATTGCTCAAGTCTACCGTATTGAGTCTACTATGTCCCTGACTCGCTTACCCCATATCTATTTGCCACCACCCGTATTTGTTTCATTATGTCACTCTTAGTTTGATTTGCTTGCTTGATTCCTTTAATTACTTCTCCAAACCACTAAATGCCTCTAATTTTGCTTCTCAACAGTCATCGGTCCGGAGGGTTGATCTTAAAACTGGAAAAGTATGTCCCTTGTCTTGCTTTTCTTACTTAACTACCATTGCACTTAATCAGATGAATTCTCGCTTATCACTTACGATTTCTCAGGTTTTAGTTCAGCATGAAATGGATGGACGATTGTTTGGAGAAGGTCTCACGCTTCTCAATGACAAGTAGATATACCTCAGTTACAGTTGTTTTCTTCAAAATAGTGTTCTTTGTTGCTTCTATTATGTCCTGCTAACCTTCACTTCGTTTTGTGGAAACTTTTCCTTTGCAGATTGTTTCAAGTTGTTTGGATGAAGAATCAGGGGTTTATCTATGATCGACATAACTTTAGCAAAGTATGTTGCTGCTCTTGTTTCCTTGCTTATTGCAGCTATGCATGATTTAGATTTGTTTTAATTCCTGGATAATGATCCTAAACTCCCACTTATTTTGGATATCACTTTTCTACTCTACTTTCCTGGTGAATTGTGGATTTGCAATTATTGTCACCTTGTGTTTCCTATCAGTCATTTTAGTTTCCATTAAGATACTCAATGCATTTGTCTTTGCCACATACTCCAAACTCGATTATCTTGTCATGATTTAGCTGTCTTATACGACTCTAGGCTCTCTGTTATGCACATGGTAATTGAATACAGACCACCAAATTGTTGCCATGCTTTCTAGTTATACGCATGATGTATTTGGTGGCATGTTAATGTACTTCATGCTTCGTTTGCAGCGTGAGAGTTTTACCCATAAAATGAGTGATGGGTGGGGGTTGGCTACTGATGGAAAAGTTCTTTTTGGCAGTGATGGTACTTCAAGGTTATACCAGCTTGATCCAAAGTCAATTCAAGGTAATTATTCCAGTGATTTTGTGATTCCCATTGGCTCATGTTGTTCGACTTGATTTCACTTCTAGACTCAGGCAACTTGCCTGGGACTAAAAACTGTTGTTTGAAACTTCCATTTTGATTATTTGACATTCTTTTGGTGCAGTCATGAAGACAGTGACTGTGAAATATCAAGATAATGAAGTCCCCTATCTTAATGAACTGGAATATATAAACGGTGAAGTATGGGCAAATGTCTGGCAGGTTAGACAGCTGTGCCCCCTTTGCTGACAATTGCTTGTTAGTTGTTATAGCTTACACGTAAAATTTGTTTGTAGTAATACATGATCAACCAATACAATGTGAATTCTCAGTATTCATTTCAAATCCATGGTATATAGACAGATTGCATAGCTAGAGTCTCCCATGAAGATGGCCTAGTGGTGGGCTGGATCTTTCTTCATGAGCTGAGGTAAGTCGTCAGCTGAAATAGTGATCACTCTGTATGGATAGTTGCCTGCATTTGACAATAACAAATAATTCTTATGTTCTTGCAATTTTGAAGGCAACACTTGTGGAATTCTGGCAATACGGTGAGCAATCTATGCCTTTCTCTTACCTTTTTTTTTATCCCTTCACTTTTTTATACTCTTCTTGATCATTGTTTGGTCCAGTGAGCTTCATGATGTTCAAAATCATATTGTAGCTTAGCAGGAAGACATAGCATTATGACATTAATGAATCTATTCCATGTTCCAGGAAATCGATGTTCTAAATGGTATAGCTTGGGATGAAGAAAATCAAAGATTATTTGGTGAGCTTTTAGCATTCTAATGCGCTGGTTTCATCCTAGTGAAGCCATCTAAGGTTCTTCTGATCATGGGGCAGTGGCTAATCCTATTCAATGGCTTGCAGTGACCGGAAAATTGTGGCCAAAGATCTATGAAATTAAGCTACGGCCTGTAGATGGGCCACAAGATGGATCTGTAGAGAAGCTATGCCCCAAGGCAAGCTTTTATCGTTGAGGTGTAGTGGATCTCTCTAGGGTGAGAAGAGAAGAGAAGAGAAGAGAAGATATAGGATATCTTGTTTTTATATCAGTATGTTACAATGCACAGATGTATTGCATACACCTCTTAAGTGGAGGTAATTGATTGGCAGTTTTCGGAGACTTGTGTTGTATCTCGACAAAATTGAGTGTATTTACTGATCTGATGGTAGCTACTTGCTTCGTCTTCTTTTCTTTTCTTTTTTTTCTAGAGCGGCATATAGCTGTTAATCAATTCTTCTCCTGATGTACATTGTAGTAGAAGTAATTTATAAGGATGATTGTGCTTCGAACAACTCTAATCGCCAGTTCATCAGAACCAAATTATCTCATTGTTTAATTCTCTTTGGTCGTGGGTACTTCAGAAATTGGAAGAACTGAAAAGCCTGGAAACGATCTGGATGAAACAACAAAGGGAAAGGGAATAGAATGGAATTTATGCAAGATACCGCTTGAGTTGGTATATAGTCTGATACAAGTTATGGCATTTGATTTCCAAAATGGTTTGAAAACAAAAACATATGTTTAACATAGCAATGGACAACAAAGTTGAGGACAATTTATGCTAGCTACCTATACATTATATATATAGGGATCACGCTCTTTTCTTGGCTGCAAAACTGTAGTCGGTATGAATGTACAAGCATGGTACAGATAAAACTAGAAGAGCAACAAAAAATGGCTAAAACCCTGGTAAAACTGACAGGTCGGCAATTCCCTTTGGCAGACTCGCAACCTTCGTTAGCAGTGCAAGCCGATTGTTACGAACTCTCTCGTCTTCCTGTATCACCAACCACATAGCAAAGCATACACCATTACCAAAGTCTAAATCATTTAGTAATAAATGGCTAAGTAGATGCTTAGTACTCGAAAATTAAGCTCACCGCCATGACAAAAACATTTGTAAAGAAATCTTCTAGGGGTTGCAGCAGTTCCAGAGAAGCGTCCGCAAAGGCTTTTATGTCAACACCTACAGGGTGGAATGTGGATACAAGTAAACAGAATATACAGCACGCCCGAAAGAATAGACGATGCAAAGCACATATATTTCACACGAGAGAAAAAAGGATCAACAGAAGAAACAGTGGATCTCGGATTATTTTTCACTTTGGATAAGATTGTGTACCAGGATGAATCTTATCCGCAACCTCCAAGTAGGCACTCCACAAAGCTCTTTCTTCGTCTTTCTCAAATACACTTGCATCAACCTGCATATAAATTCACAGCGAGGAAAGATTAACATTGCGGCAAGGAACAATCAAACTCTGCTTGCAATAGGCTTGGTTACTGGTTAGCGGTACATACTACTGTCCAAAAGCTTAGTTCATAATTCAAAGCTGTAATCAGAATCTGAAAGATATATCATCATGGTACTTGTTTATTCTTTGTACAAAGCAGCCGTTACCTCTAAAGCAGACCCAATTTCTTTTCCACGTATTATTCTCGCGGGCCTTGAGTACGCTTCGACAATTTTTGGGAAATCTTCAGTTCTTGAAAATGCTTCCATCTGCAAGGTCCACACATCAAGACCATTAAAAAAAAACAAATCATACTTCCATTCATTCAGCAAAGTACCAAGCAGATATAATTTAACACTGTACAACCATAGTATATCGTTCCTGATTATAAATACGTAATATTTGAAAACCATATCCAACATACAGAGGATTCAGAAGAATTGAAGAATCTTACTTCAATTGCTGTTTGTGATGCTAGATAAGGGCAGTTTGCACGCTCTATAAGCACTGAACGGACTATCTCGCAATTAATTCCTTCATCCACCTGATAAATTGACGAAAAACCATCAGTTACAGGAAATGGATTTCACTGACAATTGTTGACTTGTATTTGATAAAAAAAAAGGATCAGAAGTGAAAACAGAAGCAGAGATGGCAACAAAATCCATGCTCGGTACTATGCTGAATAAGCTACATGGATAAACATGAAGCAATGATAGTATGCATATTTATCTTCGGAATTTCTTGTGTACGAGGGAGAAAACGTCACTAAAACCAGTCTGTACGGGAAAAGATACTTGCTCTTCCAGTGTAGGTAAGCTTCTACTCTAATCCTTGGTAGATTCCAAAAGGATGGAGTCTTGGGGAATAAAAGCATTATATGTAACTCAGACTATTATTACTGTTCAAGGAAATACGTACCAAAAGTTGCTCCAATCTCCGCGTGACAAATTGTACTACCTGAGAAATTAATTAGAGTTGACACAAACCATATAATCAACAAAGATTAACATCAGGATTATTTGATATTTGTGCTCACCTCATCTATAACACCACTATCTATTGTTATTGGCTGCTCCTCTGCCACTAAGGTCAAGGCCTTCGTGAGGTCAAAGTTCTTCTTGTTCTCAACCAATATTTGAACCTAGATGAAAAATATTATAAGAATATTTCATAATATGATGGTGTTTGTAGATTCTCAACTTCACTTACCAATCCATAGGAAATTCTCCTTAGCCCAAATGGATCATTTGTAGAACTTGGTTGGCATCCAGCTCCAAACAGACCCACTAGACTATCCAATCTGAATTACAAATAAGAAAAATATTAAAGCATCTACAATTTGTGTGGTTCACATGGAAAAAACAAAAGCAATCATAAATCTGGGAAGCTCTCAGTTTCCACAATGTGTTTGCATTGCAATACCATTTTGTTTGTTTTATCCTGGCATTGCTGGTAAATAAAGCTGGTAAGAAGTTGTACTTTCAACTATGTGAACTAACTAAATAGCTGCATAGTCCCTACTGTTCTGCCCACCCACTGTAATCCCCAGTCCAAGAGAACAGAAATCGGAGCAGCTCTCCTCTATACCAACTGTACAGAAATAATACAGTGGCACAGAATCCTAAAAATATGGCTCTTTGAATTCCCAGCCTGTATTTTAAGGTGCAGACTATTATAAATTGAACATGAAAGCTACGTATGCAAGAAATACCTGTCAGTGACTGCAAGGACTATGCCAGGATCTGTTTTTGGGAACACATCACCAGAGAACCTTGGAAGTGTTATCTCAAATAGGGCTTCTGCAATCTGACATGAAAACTACTCAACCAAATGTGCACAAATGGCCACAACTTTCACACTGAAGTTTAACAACAAAATTTTCACCACAAAACAAAGTCAGAAACCTGTTCTGAAAGGCCATCTCTCAAAGCATAATGCCGTGCCATAATTCCAGCAAGTGAAGTAAATTCAGTAACAATATTAGTGGCAAGATCTGACATAGCCAATGCAGCTGCATCTTTGATTGCTGGGATCATTTTCTCATTAATTCCGAGAAGGAGGGCCACTTCTGCAACAGTGTTCTCAACACGTTTCATTTTGTCAAGCATGGTACCAAGTCTTTCCTGTTCAACATGATGCAGATGTTATGTACGTAAACATATACAAGAAACTAAGAGAATTTTGGTACACCGTACTTACATGAAAGAGAATGCTGCTGAGCTGATCTCGGAATTCAGAAAGTTTCTTCTGCGTATCCATCTTATAAAAGAATTTAGCATCCTCATACCGTGCCCTGTATTTATATACCAATTCAGAATCTACGGTTCCTCGCAAAAAAAAAATCTACAGTTGACTACAGCTCTCTTGCGGAATAAAAAAAAAGGCAGAGGGAAGAAAAGACGATGCAAACATAATGCTGGTAATCAAACTATGGCTACTTCTATCCATTATCTAGAATTATGTCTTCCAGTCAAAGCTCCAGCTATAAATTTTACACAGTAGCATTGCTAAAACATTCATAACCTGAGTACAGCTTCATTCCCTTTGCGGACTACTTCTTCCTTAATGGCACCATTGGCAACCTAACAGCAAACACTAAATTAAAAAGGAACAAGAAGACGAAGAAGACAAATACACAACGGGAAAAATCATCTCACAGTTATGAAACATGGTAGCAGATTGCCCATGGTCTTGGAGGTTACAGGGAAATATTTCTGGTGTTTCTGCATAACCTGCATAAACATACATAATATGAGATGTTCTCTCAGTTAATAAATTTAACTTCCAACAAATGAACTATGTTAATGGACTTGTCATTTTGGTGTCTGAATCAAAAAAATTAACAGAATTTAGTATGGCTTCTACACATCACCAATCAAAAGCTGTGCATATACCGTTATTAATACATCCTTTGGAAGTGCTAAGAAGGAAACATCGTATCGACCAATAATGGGCATCGGCGCCTCCACAAGATTGATAACCTGCATCGTATGGTTTAAAATATATCTTGAAATAAGTTGAATTTCATCAAGAAAAACGTATGTACAAGAAAAGTTAACTGAGGAGCAGAAGAGCATCAACCTCCTGCACCAAGCTATCAGGTGCAATGATATCACCGCCAACACCCTCAGCCAATATACTAGAGTCATGCAAGATTCGTTGTTTGCGCTCCTGCAGTGGGGTATCATATACATCATAAGGTACAGTAGGACCTGGAATACTGAGCAACTAAAAACCATTAATGGACTCATGCAGCATTTTCCCTGTTTCATGCAGGCTATAAGAGTTGGCACCAATATTCTTGTGTGGAATAAATAGTACATGAAATTGGAGCTTACAGCTACGAAGCCTATGAAAAGTCAAAACATGACATAGCACATGAAAAGATTATGTGTGCCCATCTCACCTGCATATCAATCAGGATCCCAGCTTTCTCCAGGGTGTGTAAATATAATTCTGCAGCTTCCACCTGAATTTGGAGAATGTTCAGACTATTCCCTAGATAGACAAGGATATAAGAATAGATAGAAACAAATATGTCCTAGCATCTTCCTACTGGATGTTTGAGTTAATCTGGATCAAAGGCCTTTCCGAACTGCTTGATGCAAAATACTTTCAATTTTTCAATTTATGCAGCAATACTCTTAGATAAGAAAATCAGAATGAAGAAATTGAAGATTTTTTTATATAGTGGATATCAATCTGGCCCGAAGAACATGAAGATAATGAAAACAATAATGCAAGAAAGTCCATTTTGTTGTGGTTGCGCAGAACCAGCTAGCTACCACAACACATTTGGTACCTTAAAGTTAGCCAAGGAGGAGTTACGAAGGCCACACGACTGATTCCCACTGTGCCATTGCAACTCATGTTAATAATTATAACTGTGAGAAACAATATTTCTCAAGGAAATGACTATAAATAAGTGGACATGTTAAGCTAAAAAAAATTGTTATAGCAAGTAATGTTTTCATTTCTACAGAATATTGTACACATTATGGCAATGGATAGTATCACTGTAGTTGTGATAAGTCAATTATTCTAGTTTCCCAAGATCTTAAAAGAGAAGCCCAGAAATTGGCTCGAGTGCAATCTAGAA